AAGCTTATTTTCCATCAATACCAGAAAAGAGCGATAATAGTAGACGTGAGAAGCTTATTTTTATTTTCCCATCAATACAAGAAAGTTTAGCGATAATAGAAAGACGTGAGAAACTTATTTTCCCATCAATACCCATCAATGCTAGAAAAGAGCGATAATAGTAGACGTGAGAAGCTTATTTTCCCATCAATATACTAGAAAGAGCGATAAGTAGACGTGAGAAAACTTATTTTCCCATCAATACTAGGAAAGAGCGATAATAGTAGACGAGAAGTAGAAAGAGGGATAATAGACGGGAGAATCTTATTTTCCCATCAATACTAGAAAGAGCGATAATAGTAGACGTGAAGTCTTATTTTCCCATCAATACTAGAAAGAGCGATACCAGCTTATTTCCCATCAATACTAGAAAAGAGCGATAATAGTAGACGAGAAGTTTATTTTCTTATTTTACCATCAATACCAGAAAGAGCGATAATAGTAGACGTGAGAAGTTTATTTTCCCATCAATACTAGAAAGAGCGATAATAGTAGACGTGAGAAGTTTATTTTCCCATCAATACCAGAAAGAGCGAAAGAGCGCTTATTTTCCCATCAATAGTAGAAAGACGATAATAGTAGACGTGAGAATCTTATTTTCCCATCAATACTAGAAAGAGCGATAATAGTAGACGTGAGAAGTTTATTTTCCATCAATACTAGAAAGAGCGATAATAGTAGACGAGAAGCCATCAATACTAGAAATTGCGATAATAAGAGAGAAGCTTATTTTCCCATCAATATAGAAAGAGCGATAATAGTAGACGTGAAAAGCTTATTTTCCCATCAATACCAGAAAGAGCGATAATAGTAGAAGAAGCTTATTTTCCCATCAATAATAGAAAGATGATAATAGTAGACGTGAGAAGCTTATTTTTCCCATCAATACTAGAAAGAGCGATAATAGAGTAGATCAATACTAGAAAGCGATAATTATTTTCCCATCAATACTAGAAAGAGCGATAAAGTAGAGCGATAATAGTAGACGTGAGAAGCTTATTTTCCCATCAATACCAGAAAGAGCGATAATATTAGACGTGAGAAGCTTATTTTCCCCCGATAATAGTAGACGTGAAGCTTATTTTCCCATCAATACTAGAAAGAGCGATAATAGTAGACGTGAGAAGTTTATTTTACCATCAATACCAGAAAAGCGATAATAGTAGACAATGAGAAGCTTATTTTCCCCATACCAGAAAGAGCGATAATATTAGACGTGAGAAGCTTATTTTACCATCAATACTAGAAAGAGCGATAATTTAGACGGAGAAGCTTATTTTCCCATCAATACTAGAAAGAGCGATAATAGTAGACGTGAGAAGCTTATTTTCCCATCAATACTAGAAAGAGCGATAAAGTAGCGAGCTTATTTTCCCATCAATACCAGAAAAGACGATAATAGTAGACGTGAGAAGCTTATTTTCCCATCAATACTAGAAAGAGCGATTTTCCCATCAATACCAGAATGAGCGAAAAGAGTTTATTTTCCCATCAATACTAGAAAGAGCGATAATAGTAGACGTGAGAAGCTTATTTTCCCATCAATACTAGAAAGAGCGATAATAGTAGACGTGAGAAGCTTATTTTCCCATCAATACTAGAAAGAGCGATAATAGTAGACGTGAGAAGCTTATTTTCCCATCAATACTAGAAAGAGGGATAATAGTAGACGTGAGAATCTTATTTTCCCATCAATACTAGAAAGAGCGATAATAGTAGACGAGAAGCTTATTTTATCAATACTAGAAAGAGCGATTATTTTCCCCATCAATATAGAAACGATAATAGTAAACGAGAAGCGACTAATAATAGTAGACGTGAAAAGCTTATTTTACCATCAATACCAGCTTATTTTCCCATCAATACTAGAAAAGAGCGATAATAGTAGACGTGAGAAGCTTATTTTCCCATCAATACTAGAAAGAGCGATAATATTAGACGTGAGAAGCTTATTTTATTTTCTTATTTTCCCATCAATACTAGAAAGAGCGATAATAGTAGACGTGAGAAGCTTATTTTCCCATCAATACCAGAAAGAGCGATAATAGTAGACGAGAAGCTTATTTTCCCATCAATACCAGAAAGAGCGATAATATTAGACGTGAAGCTTATTTTCCCACAATACTAGAAAGAGCGATAATAGTTCTTTTTTACCATCAATACTAGAAAGAGCGATAATAGTAGACGTGAGAAGCTTATTTTACCATCAATACTAGAAAGAGCGATAATAGTTTTCGTGAGAAGTTTTTTCCCATCAATACCAGAAAGAGCGATAATAGTAGAAAGTTTATTTTACCATCAATACTAGAAAGAGCGATAATAGTAGACGTGAGAAGCTTATTTTCCCATCCCGATAATAGTAGACGAGAAATTTTACAATACTAGAAAGAGCGATAATAGTAGACGAGAAGCTTATTTTCCCATCAATACTAGAAAGAGCGATAATAGTAGACGTGAGAAGCTTATTTTCCCATCAATACTAGAAAGAGCGATAATAGTAGACGTGAGAAGTTTATTTTCCCATCAATACCAGAAAGAGCGATAATAGTAGACGCTTATTTTTCCATCAATAGAAAGAGCGATAATAGTAGACGAGAAGCTTATTTTCCCATCAATACTAGAAAGAGCGATAATAGTAGACGTGAAGTTTATTTTCCCATCAATATAGAAAGAGCGATAATAGTAGACGTGAGAAGCTTATTTTCCCATCAATACCAGAAAGAGCGATTATAGTAGACGTGAGAAGCTTATTTTCCCATCAATACTAGAAAGAGCGATAATAGTAGACGTGAGAAGCTTATTTTCCCATCAATACTAGAAATTGCGATAATAGTAGACGTGAGAAGCTTATTTTCCCATCAATACTACAAAGAGCGATAATAGTAGACGTGAGAAGCTTATTTTACCATCAATACCAGAAAGAGCGATAATAGTAGACGTGAGAAGCTTATTTTCCCATCAATACTAGAAAGAGCGATAATAGTAGACGCTTATTTTTCCCATCAAATAGCGATAATATTAGACGTGAGAAGCTTATTTTCCCATCAATACTAGAAAGAGCGATAATAGTAGACGTGAGAAGCTTATTTTCCCATCAATACCAGAAAGAGCGATAATAGTAGACGTGAGAAGCTTATTTTCCCATCAATACCAGAAAGAGCGATAATATTAGACGTGAGAAGCTTATTTTCCCATCAATACCAGAAAGAGCGATAATATTAGACGTGAGAAGCTTATTTTCCCATCAATACTAGAAAGAGCGATAATAGTAGACGTGAGAAGCTTATTTTACCATCAATACCAGAAAGAGCGATAATATTAGACGTGAGAAGCTTATTTTCCCATCAATACTAGAAATTGCGATCAGTGAAGCTTATTTTTTCCCATCAATCATACAAAGAGCGATAATATTATTTTACCATCAATACCAGAAAAGAGCGATAATAGTAGACGTGAGAAGCTTATTTTCCCATCAATACCAGAAAGAGCGATAATAGTAGACGTGAGAAGCTTATTTTCCCATCAATACCAGAAAGAGCGATAATAGTAGACGTGAGAAGCTTATTTTCCCATCAATACTAGAAAGAGCGATAATAGTAGACGTGAGAAGCTTATTTTCCCATCAATACTAGAAAGAGCGATAATAGACGTGAGGCTTATTTTCCCATCAATACTAGAAGAGCGATAATAGGACGTGAGAAGCTTATTTTCCCATCAATCTACAAAGAGCGATAATAGTAGACGTTAGAAGCTTATTTTCCCATCAATACCAGAAAGAGCGATAATATTAGACGTGAGAAGCTTATTTTCCCATCAATACTAGAAAGAGCGATAATAGTAGACGTGAGAAGCTTATTTTCCGATCAATACCAGAAAGAGCGATAATAGGAAAGGATATAATAGTAGACTATATTATATTTATAAAACCAAGGTTTCGCGAGAAATCTACCTTCATAAATCATCATGACTTTCTTCGGGAATTAGTTGGAAATTCGTCTCCAGCTGTACTGGTTGAGCTCTCTGCCTTCGGACAAAGAACAACCCAGACGAGGCTATGTCGATGGGCAGAGTCTCGTCTGGGGTGGTAGACAGCTACCTAACCCCGTTTTTTTTTTACGGAGTCTACGGGCTCGGTTTTGTCCTGCATAAAAAAAGGCCTTGTGCCACATCCTGCTTCGCGGGGAGGTAAGGTAAATAACCTTCATCATTGAGTCTCCATGTAACCTCTGGCTGATTGGATGGTTTGCTTGATTTTATTTAGCGGCATATCAAACTCTATGGGTTATTTAATACAGAAATCTAAATATTTTGCACGCCTTTTTATTTTTAAATAATGATGGTTTTAGTGGTACAAGTCTTACTAATAGCTGGGGGCGGGGAGAAGCGGTGTATCCATGCATATAAGTAGTATAGTGAAGAAGCAAAAATTAATTTACACAAGTTTTATTAAATTCCAGTCTATTTATGTTTTATTGTATTTTCCAATTTCCAAATAAGTTGTTGCACACCTGGATGAAAATTGCAGATAAAATGTCCAAAGTTTATGTTTTAGTTCGATTTGTTCGAGTACCTTCGATCGTCTCGGTTGGTCTTTATCATGAACTAAATGTTAGCAGTATCGTAGATAAAAGTTTTGTTAGCTACATCCTAATATTTTTGGCAAAGTTACATTAAAAAAAAATCCACCATTTTCGGCTTTCTTAGCCCTGTTGGCTGATTCCTTTTCTACGGTTTATCAACCCTTTGCAGGTTATTTAAAGCCAGAAAATATTTTTAGATTGTAATATTTTTTTTTTGTGGGGAGGAGATAGATAATAACGATACAAGTCTTACAAATTAACTCATAGTTAGGGGAAGAAGAGTTGGACTCATGCCTTTCCCAAGGGCATTTGCGCGTTGGAACTCGTCTCTCCGATTAATAATTACGAGCCATTAGCCATTACAGCCCACGCATATCAAAGCTTACAGCACCTGGTATTCCCAAGCGGTCACCCATCAAGATAATGACCAGACTCGACGTTGCTTAACTTCGGTGATCGTACGGGAAGCGGAGTTTCATCCAGCTTCTTCACCAAACTAACACGTTCCTCTAATTTGCCAGCTAGACCATCTATTTCGTCATGTTACGACTCCCGATGCTTACTTTGTCTTGATGTTCTTCAAGGGTGTAACTTAGGATGCGTTCAAATTAGATGCTAATGAACGGAAGATATAGGGCAGAAGACAACCTTGGCGTACACCGACTGATGTGTGGAACCACCTTTCTCTGGAAGCCTCGTACAGCACTGCGCTTCTTGTGTTATCATGCAGCTGTTGGACAGTATTGATCCACATGGATATCTTGGATCGATTATCAGCAAATATGGCCGCAGAGTAGATATAATTTCAAGAGCAGCACAAACAATGGCAGCTGTCGCAAAGCTAAGAACCATCTGGAAAAACAAGAACATCTGCCTGAAATCAAAGATCAGACTTGAATACGTTAATGTTTCTATATTCCTGCGACTCTTGGACTATAACAGCAGAATTACCATGAAGAATCCAAGCATTAGAAAGTAAATGCTACAGAACCGTCTCCTGCGTAGACCTCATCACAAATGATGCAGTATTAGACACAAGCAAGAAAATAGTCCGTTGGAAGAACCCATATTCACTGCCATGAATTGAAATTTGAAATGATTTGAATACGTCATATACGCCAAACACTTTCCACTGTCATCTTGAAAGGTTACACGTTGGACAAAAGAAGATGGAGACAGATAGTCTGGCAACATCAATGAAAGGACTGAAAGATCATTCACAGCGACACAATCATTGGCACGCAACCGAGACATGTAGAGGGAGCTGGTCAGGTGGAACTGATGATGACGATGATGATTTTTTTAATAAAGTTTATTTTCGAGTCAAATTTACAAAAGTGTGACATCAAATGAGAACTGAATAATCACCCTCAACTATCCTCTACGGCAGGGATTCCGTATATGTTGATATTTTTAAAATAACTTCCCTCCAAGCAAGGACGCAAATAATTACAGAGAGTGAAAGAGAATGTGAAGACTTTAGTGAGGAGAAGTGAAGAGAAAGGACAATAAAAGAACAGTATTCAGGAAGACACAAGATGGCGATTGGTGCTACATTTAAATGTTTGAAGATTATAGATGACAGGAAATAAAGAAATCGGAAGAGAGTTCCACAGGTTAGAAGTGCGAGAAAAGAAGCTATTCAAATAGAACATATGGTTGCATCTAGCTAGTTCAACGGTAAAATGGTGAGACCTAATTGCCAATCTAGTAGCACGTTTAAATTCGTGCAGTCGTGGCACCAAGAAGGAAATCTATTCAGAACAAATGCCATAAAAATATTTGGAGTAAAGACGGAGGGAAGCCAGGTCATGTCAGTGAGGCAATCACTGAATTCGAGATGTCAGTTTTAGATCGATTACATTACAGACACTTTGAATTTTATCAGGAATTTCAAGATATACAGTAGCGTCCGACTACCAGTTGTCAAAATTTCAGCTTTTCACAGTTGTTATTTCTAACAAATATTAGGTTTTAAAATGTTGTCCCTTAGTTTTGGACGCTACTGTATAGTAGAAACACTAGATCAGATATAACAACAGTATTCAATATATTAAAATATTATTTATTACTTATAAACGTCACTTATCACTAAAATATCGATATATATATTTTATTTGACGGGGAATAAAATACTTATCTGACAAGTCTATATCACCAAATGTTTTACAGAATTAATACGCTGCTTCTAGTATTATGACTAATAATTTTGGAATTTCGTCGTCAAACTGATAAGGCACTTGCCCTGAATACACAGGTTTCTGAAGCGAAAATAAACGCAAGTTCAAGACTAATCATTTTCCTTATTTCTAAACAACACAGACCGTAGAATAAAACAGTCTGAGAGTTACGGAACAATAACGAAAATAAAATACAAAAAGAAGACAAAATATTTTTTTTTAAATACAAGACAATCTCAATAAAAAATTAAGAATAAAAAATGAGTTTACGTTTTCTTGGTCTAATGGCACTGAACTTCCAGTTTCATGATCTTAACTCTGGTTGGTAAGTTGGAGATAATAATTCATTTATTTGATGCCAACATTTTTTACAATGACAAAATAACCTGTCTATCTGTCTAACTGTTTGTCTGCCTATCTGTGTCCCCAATATTCTTTATCTTGAATTTTAAAAAAATTCAGGTACCTGCACCGGCTTTTTAAAAAAATATATAAATAGTTCTGATGTGCCTCACTGATTGCTGTGACATACTTATTTCTATCAGTTCACAGAGCAAAAGTCAAAGCACGATAGTGTTACACCAATGCAACAACAACAACTACTACTACTACTAATAATAATAATAGTAATACTACTACTGCTAATACTACTACTACTACTACTAATATTATTGCTCGAAGTTGCCTGTATACGTTTCGGCGTGGCTATATTACCTTCAAGCTTACTGAAGCTGTTAGATATTTACGTAATATTTGCGGCCTCTTTCTTCTTCTTCGATCACAGCCCTTCACATCTTTCTGCCCTTTGCAGCTCTTAATAAATTTTCTCTTTTTGCTATTTCTCCCAAAACTTAGTCTACCATTCATTTACTCAAGCCTATCAAGTAGGTTACACGTTGCTTTCCTCTGTTCCTCTTTCCCCTCAATCTGTCCTTTGAGTATCAGATTTTCCAAACTCTCCTTCCTCATTAGATGCTCCAGAAATTTCAACTGCTTCTTCCTGAGGTTAAGCATAAGCTTCTTTTTTGTTTCCAAATTTTATAAAACCACGCCGTTGCCCACATGATCAGTACATGATATCCCCGGCATTTTTCTGTTGAAACACATTTCTTTTGCTTCAAGTTTCTATGAGGAGATTGTCCAGCATTCACTGCCAGATATCACGTAACAGTTCAGTATTCTTTTCTTCATCCTGTTAGGTTAGAAAAGTTTTCAAAGACAATAGATAAGCCTTAGCGCCAAACATTCTCCAACATTATAGATATATTAGCATTATTCTATTAGTAACATTTAGGACAGTTTGGGATGAAATTAAGTGGTTAAATAATCAAATTTTATTTCTAAGCGCTATCATTTCATATGTAAAATATACTATAAATATATTGGTGTCTGCTTAACTCTGATATGATTTGGGTTGATTGATTTGTTTTCTACGGATTATCAACCGTTTGCAGGTTATTTAAAGCCAGAAAATATTTTTAGATTGTAAGAATTTTGGGTGGGAAGATAATAATTATTTATGGATAGAAGTCTTACTGAATAACCCACAGCTGTGGGTATTTACCCGTGAGTATAAATAGAATTGGATCAACAATTCCAAGCCATTATCCGTTACACCACCCGTACATCCAAGCTTACAGCACTTGGTATTCCCAAGCTATCACCCATCTAAGTACTGACCAGGCTCGGTGTTGCTTAACTTCAGTGATCGTACGAGAACCGGTGTTTCAACGTAATATGTCAGTAAGACCCATTAATAAGGTGTAGAAAAAGAATCAACCGGCAGGTCTAAGAAAGCCGAAACCGAAAACTATGATGCTGTCAACATTTAGTTCTTGTAATGACCAAGACGGTCGAAAGCACTCGATCAAAACATTTTTTAAGCATTTCACCCCAAGCAAGGCGGGAGTGCCACTAGCACGCAAGGGGTTACAGAGAGTCGGAGCGAAAATAAAGAGGCGTGATAGAGGAAAGGATGAAGAGAAGGACGGGGAATTACATCAAGGCATCTGGAGATGTCGATTGACATTACATTTGAATAGTTGGAGATTATAGCTATCAGGGAAACAAGTAATAGGAAGGGAATTCCACAGATGGGAGGTGCGAGACATGAAGCTATTGGAGTAGAAGAGACGGCTACATTTAAATTACGTTTAAATTCATGCAACTAGCGAAAGTAGCTCGTCGGAGCAGTTGCTGTGAAAGTATTTGTAGAAAAGACAGAGGGAGGCGACGTCATGCCTGTGAAAGAACAACTGTAGATGAGATGCCAGGTCAGGGCCAATTACATTGTATATCCGTCTCTGGATTTTGTCGAAGACCCTAAGATGAACAGCGGGGGCACCAGACCATATATGGCAGCAGTAATCCATGCATGGGCGAATGGTTGATTTATATATTTGAAGGATGGACTCGGGTGAGAAAAACTTTCTGGTGTGACTCAGGGAACCTACTTTCCTTGTAGTAGATGAAGCTATTGATTCAATGTATTTGTTCCATCTCGGATCAGCGGAAAGTATGAGATCAAGCAGTCGCAAAGAAGTACTCTCGTGGAGTTGAGCATCAGACATTCTGATGGGAGGCAGAGATGGTTCCCTGTGGTGAGTAATAGAGAGCAGTTTTGTTTTAGAGGCATTAAAGTTAACGAGACAATTCCTGCCACAGTCTACAACCGATTGGAGGTCCTTTTCGAGACTAACGCCCAGGTTAGTTTTGTCAGCGATACCACATGAACTTTGGACAATTTTTCTACAATTTTCGTCCGGGTGGGCAACAACTTATTCGAAAATAGGAAAAATACAAGGAAACATAAACAGGCTGAAATTTAATAAAAATCGTTTCAATCAATTGTTTCCGCTTAAATATACTCATACTCTCTCTCTCATATATATATATATATATATATATATATATATATATGCAAGACTCTTCGGTAAAAGCGAATCGAGTCCTCTCGGTCAATGTGTGTTTATCTAAAAATAAATACGCTCAAAATTCCCCTTCTTCCCTGCCGTGCGTCAATGTAAAAGCCCCGACTGACGCTAATTCAGGCGGGTTTCGATCCTAGCTAGAGGCAACCGGACTTCTAGCCACACTGATGAGCGAAAAAGTCTATCCGTGGATGATTTTATATATATATATATATATATATATACACACACACACACACACACAAACAGGTAGTCATCCACAGACAGACTGCTTCGCTGTATAGTGTGGTTAGACGCCCGATTGCTTCAAGCCGGGATCGAAACGTGACTGATTTGACATCAGTCAGATATCTTACCTCTAGGTCATCGTCGCACGGCAGTAAGAAAGGGAATTTTAACGTTTTTCACTATACGAAATACACCAGCGGCTCGGAGAACTCAATTCAATTTACTTGAAGAGTAATGCGGAGTAGTTTAACATCGCTTGAGGAGACACATTTGTAAGAGTGTAGCGATTTTTAACATGTATTTGTTTTGATATACTAAAATAATAGTAATAATTATATATATAATAATATATATATATATATATATATATATATATATATATATATATATATATATATATATAAAATGTGTGGGTATGTATGTGGCCCTGGAACTTCTTACACCCAAAGGAAACAAATGTATAAGAAATTACTATTTTAGATTCTTTGTTGTTAATAAAAATTTTTGTCATTTTTCACGTCCACCAAAGTTCATTTGCAGCGTAACTAGCCATATGTATGGATGACGTTTGCATTTTGTAGCCTAAAATAAAATCGGTTCCACTTGTTGCTAGCGAGTTCCCAGTGAATAAAAAAATAAAAAGTTGAAAAATACATTTAGGGTGAAAAATTACTGTGAAAGTGTGCAAATATTTTCTTTAAAATTAAAATATCAGACATTAAAATAAAAGAATTTATAGTCTTATACTAACAGATTACCAACGGTAGCTTCTATAAAAGAATCCCCATGAGGAACAAAATAATATTTTAAATTAAAAAAAAAACAAAAAACCAAACTTCTGGGCTCAATATGTACGCTTAGTAAATGTGTGGCTTTTACAAGAAATGTTTTGGTGGTGTGCAGCAGACAGACAAAAGCTTCAAATTTATATATAGAGAAATTTGGATAAGATTGTTTTTACTTGAGATTCGAATATCTATAGTAAAATAAAAAGACAAGACCAGGTTGTGCACATTGATCTCAAAGATTTATAAAAAAAAAATCCCATTTTAATTTTTTTTTCCAGAACTGTTTAAATAGATAGTATACGACTGCGGTGATAATCCAATCAATATTTTTAATATATTTCTCTATTAGGATATTTTTTGTTCATCTTTAGTCGAACAAACCTCTTTGTTATGTGGATCAATCAAAAAAGAAATCCGTACCCGTTGAATAGTAGGTATTTGCAAAATTCGCCATGTTCAATTATGCACCGATTTAGCATACTTCTTGCTTTAATTAAAATTCTTTTACACCTTAGAATACCTAAAGCAAAATCTTTAAAAAAAGTATTAATTAATAATTCTGTATTGACCTTTTACAAGGAATGCGGAAAAGTTCTCAAATCGACCAAGAAGGGATTTTTTTTTAATCCCCATATTTCTTTCTTTAATCAGATCTTTGGATGAATGTGATACTCAGTCCTTGGTGTTTTCAGCACCCTCTCGTACAGGTTAGAATTGATCATTAAAATGTAAAAATAAGATTTCGTAATGTTGCGTTCAATTACCTGAGTGCCTTATTACTCACCTGGATTCTCTGCGACTTTTGCCATATTTAATTGGGACTGTCAAACGCCAATTTCTATTTTAACGGCGTAAGAATTCCAATTACAGTTTTTATGATGTGATAGAAACAAGCAAAAAATTTACGTTGATCTTATTAAAAAAAAAATGTAAACCTTTCTCCGTTTGACAAGACGACGCTTGAAAGTTGTTAAAAATATTTTAAGAGGCACTGATGAATTTGATCAATTTGTATACCATCAGAAATATGTTCAATGTGGTCGAACGAGATTATTAAAACCTGATAATTTATAATTCTATTTATGTATCATTCGCCTGATCCCAAAGCTCTGACTTGACTTGACTGAACAACATAAAACAAACAAAAATACACTACTCATGTAAAAACATTTTTCTGGGGTACAATTTTCCTTTCCTGTTAACTGTTCTATTTTGACACCAAACGCCTGACTGGCTAAGAACCGAAAAAGAGAGGCAGGTCACCGTTTCGATTCTTGCGTCCCAGGAATCTTGGCAATGAGTCAAGCGACCAGACGAGGTTATTACCGCCTTTAGCAGTGAAATTGACTAATGTCTCAGCTAGTGATGCATTATACTCTACAGATAACCTAACTCTGGACAAATAACTATTCATAGTTTCAAGTATTCGCCGTTCGACTCGATTCAGTCATGTGCAACTAAGTAACAAACAACACAGAGTTTTGTGAGTCATCTTTAGAAAGACAACCTTGAATTGGTATTTGTAAATTTATAAGGCGCCTATAATAGCGTGATAGTTAACAAGACGTCACGCAGCACAATTCGTTTGAATAGTGGGTTCACTCGTCATTAGTAGCCTTCTACCATAATATGCTAAACGTGGCAAATAAACATGTTTCCCCGCCATTCAAAAGTATACTTTCGTAAGCTGAAACAGCATAAAAGAATAAACAATTATTATTAATTTACATATAAAAAGTGTTCGAGTGTTGCCAAACAAAAAATACCTTGGGTGAGGTTTTGAAAATGACTAGCAGTGCTATGATGATTGTAGAAAAGTATGACTTCAGTTCTGAAAGGGCAAATTTTTGTTCTTTGCAAGTCTCTCCGGGAGGTTTTGGCTGCCTACAAAGAATTGTATGATCACAAAAATGCGTAAGATGGTGCATTCAACTAAACTTTTGACAATGAACTGTGACCTTCTACATCGAGACAGGCAGACAGAGAACAATGTTATTTTGGGGATCTGGGAACTTTTTGAAAAGATTTAGCTTAAATCTTTTAATCCGGACCAAATTATGGACGTACATTCGCATCTCACGCAGTTGCTAGATTTATTCAATCAAATAGATTATGTCAACTTCTAACATTTCAGCCTAAACTCTGAAATTTTATTTATTATTTATTCGTTTATTTTTTTTCCTCAATAGGAGTAGATAGGTTCGCCTATCGTCCCCTTCACACTCTTCCCCGGTCTTTTGAACAGGAATAGAGCTTTATTCCTTTTTTCCTGTTTAGGATTGGGTTTCTGGTTCCTTTGAAAATCTTTTCTTTCTCTTTCACTTCCAGTAGCCTCTTGCGTCTTCGTGGCATTATCACTGTGTTAGGGTGGTGCCTCTTACACTGTAACCCTCTACCTAGTGTGGCTCTTATGCCTTTACAGAGTGAACATCATTGTGTTATATAAATTAATGGTAATCTGTTTCTTACCAGATTGGCCTCATGTCATACTAGGATAAATTTAGGCACCTCGTGATGGTGTAATGGTTAGCAAGCTTGTCTCGCTAGTACAATTACGACTGAGTAGTGAGTTCGATCCTCACTGGGTGTCCCATACTTTCGGCCTTGCGCCACATCTGAGCTACGCTTGGAAGATCACTACTAGAATAAACTTTGTATTATTTATTAAAATAATTTTATTCGTTCCTTTAACAAATGTCCTTCTCGTTTTTCGCAATGCACACACACACACACAAAATACACAGCAACATTAAGCCTTCGTTCTTTGTTAATGATGTACAAATACGT